TTCTGGGGGCTTGTGTATAGCCTCACAGGCAGCAGGGGGCAGTGGGGACTGCCTCCGCTGGGCAGGAGCCGGTGAGTTTGGGCTTTTTTTTTCTTTTTTTCGAGGACCAGGAGCCGGAGCGGGCAAGGCAGCCATGGGGGGGCTGGGAGAGTGGGCTGGGTTGGGGAGCTCAAGGCAGAGTCCCCCACATGGTGTGGGGCAGGGGGGGGCAGCAGTGCTTGCCCCCCTGCCTGGCAGCACCCAGTGAGTCGGGGCTTTTTTTTCCAAGGTGCCAGGAGCTGGGGCCAGGCAGGACTGGGAGAGTGGGCGGGGGATGGGCCTGTGTGATTTGGAGATTCAGTTGATTTGGCAGCAGGCGAATCTCCAAATCAGATTCGTCTGAATCAAATCACTGTCCCCTGAATCGTCTGAATCCGAGGCAAATACTAGCCGCTTTGCACAGGCCTAGCAGACATCTCTTGCTAGAGAGCAGAAGACATTTTTGACCAGCTAAACTATGGCTATTTACAGGTGTTGATTTCTACCAGTAAGAACTTCTTAATGGTAGAAAAATAGCCCAGGAGCTGGAGTATACATGCAGAGCTACCCAGATGAGCTCCCCAGCCAGGGGGCATCCTGTGTCACTGCCACTCTTAAGAAAGTCCATTAATTGGTAGTCTGTCCTTTCCTCTGCCTGGGAAGGGTACAGGCCATCAACTGGCAATTAGCAGCTACTGAAAAACAGCAGCTGCCACAGACAGCCCTGGGAGAGTACCCCCATCATCCTGCCAATCAGCATTCTGCTGTAATGACAAAGCTCGAAGAGCCTTGCCACAGTGGCACAACAGCCTGTCTTGCCCTGCGCAGATCCAGGCCAGATAGTGAGGTGAGGGAGGGCATTGCATCATGGCAGGAACTCATTCTGGGGAGAGGAGTCCCCTGCAGGAGAATGACCCCCACCCACCAATGAGAGGGTTCCCCTGCAGGAGAATGACCCCCACCCACCAATCAGCTGATTTGTAGTGAAGGAAAATTTTTCAGGGGAGGCTCCCCACAGGGCTCCAATACAGTTTGCCCCTATGCAGACAACCAGGGAGCCAAGGGAGAACAAAGGGCTGTGGGATATCGGCTGTTCTTCACACCCAAAAGAAGTATACAGCCATTCAAGTTAGATTGGGAGGAGGGACATCATCTTGGTAAGAATCCAATCTAAATTTTTACAGAAGAGCCAGTTCTCTTCCTTGAAAAGACTCTTGAACAGCCATACATTCTCTTTTTGTGCAAGGAAAAAAGCTTTTCTTCCGGCACTAATATAACACCCATTCATGGCCTATGATTCTTTACAAGCTGTAGTGTCTTGGGGCCATGCAAAATGAATTGGTGTTTTCAGTCCAGCTCTGGTAGGTTTCCTCATCATTGCAAGTGGTACTGACATCCTTGTTAGCATTTTGACCAAAACAACCAAGCTTTGAAACCTTGATTAAGCAAAACATATAAGCACGTGCTTGATTTTAAGCACGTGAGTGGTCTCATGATTTTGGAGCTTGAATGAGGAGACCTAAATACACCATTATGCTGAGAGGTGATCCTTTCAGTTTGTGGTGGCTGGCAAGATTGCACTTTTACTTCCCCATGCAGTACATATTCTGTAGAACAGAAGAGTTGAGACAAGCAAGTAGGTTTGTGAGCATTAACAGTCACTTTAAAAACATTATATAAAACAAGTTGAAAAATACAAATTGAAAAAAATCCATTTGTATGCTCATTCTTTTGGGGAAAATAATGATATATTATTTAGGTAGGTCTTGTCCTAATTTTTATGAGGGGTAAGCGATATTCAAATAGGTCTGCAAAATTTTTGTTTTCTTTAACTCTCACCTTCCATATTGAAATGAAACGTTGTGTTAGGAGCAAAATCATCTAAGATAAAAATTTCAAAATAAGGTAACATCTGTTTTCCGAAGTGGCTTAGGCATTTAAGAACCCAAAGGCCATTGACAGTCAATGGACTTATAAAACGAAAAACCTAACCCACTGTAGCAGTTTTGAACACCTTCATGTAATGCATTCAGGCACAGTGGCCTATACCTGCTGTAATTCTCCAGTATTTTATTTTAAATTATAGCACTGTCATAATTTTCTTTGTAAAATATAATACTAATGCTTCTCTCATTATTTAGTTTTGTCTAGCATCATTATATGCCAGTTTCCTATAGATCAGAGCAACAGTAACAAGGGCCTAATCTCTTTGGTGCATAAAAGCTGCATACATTGGAACTTTATGAAATTGTCTGTTTGGCAGTAAGCAGGATGAATATTTTTCAAATATCTGTTTAAAAAGTTGTTATTTCAAATTAAATTGAACTATATCCCCTGTGAAGTCCATGTAAATCAATTTGAAGATCACAAATGTTGCTGGAATTACTTTATTGGAGAATATAGTAATAGAAAAAAAATGTGTATGGTTTTGCCACAGTCTAGTAAATCAGAAATGTCTTAAAGATATTTTCTAAAATTATACATAAATAAATCAAATAACTTCTTTATGAGACCAAGCCATGAGGAGGGTTTTATCAAAAAGTTATGTACATTGAACTCCTTTCCTGAGATTAAATAGCCTATGCCCTGTCCTTACAAGCAAGGTAAAACATGAAAGCAAAGCATGTCCTAAATGTCAATAGACTTGAGCTCTGTTGGACCCACTGGGGACTTGTCACTGCAAGCATGCCACTACCAGTATCCCCCTGTTTAAATTGGAAGGTGTCAGTTTAAGGTACTCAGGTGATTTCAACTGCAGAAAGCAGATTTTGAAAGTACCAAAGGCCTAAGCATGTAAGACTTGTAACTTAAAAAGGCAACTTGAAACTTCACATTGAACAAAATGAAAAGACATTGCAAACACAGCACAGTTAGGAAGTTCTCGCTGCAAGAAACTTTTGCTAGTCCGGCAGACTTACATATGCACCAGTGGAATTTTCCAGACAGCTGTCATGGGCTGTGATTCATTTCACTCTTAATACGTACTTCGTTGCTATGGAAAGAATGCTACCTCTTTCCACAGGGCACAGGAGCTGGCAGGGGCATGACAGGTTTATAATAAATTAGGTTCTCTTGAGGTGACTGTGACAGGACCTGGCCCTTGAGGCTGGGTGTGGTGCTCCCTTGTGGCCCCACTTGTACTGTTTGCCCCACTTTGGCCTTCCCCGGGTATCACCCGGCTGTCACGCCTTGATAGTGAAATCATTATTCAACTGAGGAGGCGACCCTCAGAGACCAGGTTGAGCTTGGGGGTCAACCAAGCTCAACCTGGTTGACCCTCAAGGTCAACCTGGCTTCACCTGGCCCTGCTCATCACCAGGCTCTTAGCATCCTGAACAGGGCTCTTCTTATTCTCAGTCCCAGCCAGATCACTCAACACAGTCCCCTTGGTCTGACCCTTCTGGCACAGTCTCTTTGCCCTGGACTCTTGGCCCTACCCCAATCCCCAGAATTGCAGGGGTGCCTCTCTAGCCCCATCTGTGCCCTCGTCAGTGGCCTTCTTCCACCCCTTCAGCCACTTGGATGCCTCATGGCTATAAAGAAAACCTCCAACTAAAATCTCTAATGCCTCTGGGTACACTCACAGTGGGAAAACCTTCTGTGATATGGCTAGTGGATTCCCAGTAGCTCCTGAGGATCTCCATCCCTGTAACTGTTGCCCA